GAAAAGTCTTTCTTTGAAAAGTAAAAGCACAAATCATGAATGAATGGTATTTGGCATTAAAATTAAAAACTTCTGATCAAGAAAAGTTCACTATATCTAAATTGAAAAGGCACGCTAAAGACTATTAATAAAGGTATTTTTAAAGCCCCAAACCATAATTATTTCAAAAACCAATTAAATTAAAAAAAAAAAAAAAGACTGGAATGACAGAGGTGCCAAATTTTAATTTTGCCACAAAGGAGTATGAGAAACTAAATAAAGGGCTGATCAATGGTGGTTGAGCCTAATGGTTAAGGGAGCTGAATCCTATAGGACAACTGCACAGTTCCAATCTCAGCCCCAGCAGCTTGAAAAACATTCTACATGTATGTGTGTGCACAGCATAAATCTCAACAGGATGGAGAAAAGGAGCAGGGACTATGGCGTGACCAATGCCCTATTGGGGGGGAGGGTACTCTCTCTCTCTGGCCAGCTCATGTGCACTCTAGGAAAAACAAAAAACAAATGAATACAATTATTATCACTGCAATTTCATCATAACATATTAACACAGTAGTATTTTAAAATAACAGAATTTCAATAAAAAAGGTACTATTTTCATTTACTAAGTTTAGGTTCACAAGCACCTCATTACATAATATTACTCCCATGTGAATTTAAGATCTAAAGGTGGAAAGTAAAACTTTAAAGATGCTATAAAAGAATCTTTATAACACCATGATAGAAAAGTCTTTCTTTGAAAAGTAAAAGCACAAATCATGAATGAATGGTATTTGGCATTAAAATTAAAAACTTCTGATCAAGAAAAGTTCACTATATCTAAATTGAAAAGGCACGCTAAAGACTATTAATAAAGGTATTTTTAAAGCCTACCAATTATTGTTATCCAGAGTATATAGAACTCTCAGAACTTAGTAAGAAAAAGATAATCCAATAGAAAAACTGACTGGACAATTCATAGAAAAAGAATATGAATGACCAATAAAGAATTCTCTATTGAGAGATGCAAATAAAAACTACAATTAGGTACCATTTCACTCCCCAGGATGGCAAAAATTAAGAAATCTAAAGTATCTGGAAAGTAGAAAAGCAGAACCTCTCAATCATTGCTAGTACAATGACTTTGCAGAGAAAACTGGTAGTTATCTCATAAAGTTGAAAAAGTATATATCCCATGGGCCAGGACTCTACTACTAGATATATATTCCAGGGTAATCTTTCTCAATGACAACTCTCTTGTTGCTATAATGACTAGGAGGCACTACTAAACAGAAGCTAGGGATGCCAGGTATTCTTAAATGTATAAAGATAATGTGGTTACCCATCTCATGACTCGAATGTCATTCACATAGGGGAGCAAAAAGAGAAACAAAATCCAAGGTCAGACTCCTCTACACAGACTTAACACAAAGTATTATTTGTACTGTTTTAACATGGATTTTTAAAAAAAATTCTAATACAATCACTGTATAAAGAGAGAAGACTGAACTTTCACTTTTGTTCAAACTTAAGAGTAGTTCATTATTTCAGAAAAATCATTTTTCAGCAACAACAGCGCCACTGTTGGTATCTGAATGGCCAATTCAACATTCCTATTTCAATCTGCACTAGCGGCTACTGCATGGACAGTGATACTATCCACTGGTGCAAAGCACCTGACTACTATTTCTTTTAGCAGTGCTTCTTAGACTTCAAATGTTCACAAATAATCCAAGAATCCTGTAAAAATATAGCATCTGAGCCAGCAGGATGAGATCTGAGGTTCTGCATTTCTAACAAGTTCCCAGGTGATTCTGATGTTGTTCTACCATCACACTTGGTGTAAGATTTAAGTGTAGTCTTGAGCTTACATATTTATACAGCAATATACACGTAAATTCTTAAAATTTTAGTAAGAACTTTTTTTTAAAAGAAAAAAGACATGGATATAGGCTTATTATGAATTTCATTTTAGGGCAGTATGGGAGAAATGATAAAATATCTTCTATAAAGATAAAGTCAGCAAACACTGCACTAGGGAAGTCTTTTTTTTTTTGAGAGATTTTCACTGTAGGGCGCGTGCGCTCGCCAAACAGACAGAGAGAGACATAGAGACAGAAAGCGAGAAATCACCCCCCAGGGGAGATGGTCACGCCGCAATCCCTTCTCCTCCATTCTCCTCTCGGGATCTTGGGCACGCACGCACACGCGCCCGGTGTGAGTTTTAAGCCACCGGGTCCGGGACACGAACCGTGGTCGACCACGTGGGAGTCCAGCGACATAGCCATTACGCTAACTGCTGGTTCCTGACTGCACTAGGGAAGTCTTACAAATGTACTTAAGTAAACATACAAGTATATTCCTTATAGCATTGTTTAATACCAAAAAGTTGGAGACAACCATCAATAGTCTTAAAACAATCAAAACAAAACAGTATGATGTTCATGAGTATAAAGACATTAGTTATTAATAAAGAGCTTTAGGAAGAAAGTCAATTTCACCCTACTACTTGAGAATGGAGGGAAGAGGGAATAAGAATTAAGAGGGATACAAAGTACAGAGGAAACTTCGTTTTGCTTTATAGCTTTATTTCTTCAACTGGGTGATGGGTAGTACATGGGTATTCATTATTTTGTATGTTGCCAATACTTATATTGCTATATTATTTCTCATTTCACCTGGATTGACAGAACTGTTGGGCATAGCCAGCTGTTTGAAAAACACTGATGCAAAGCAAAAAATTCAGGTCTGGAAGCCAAAAGACTGGGGTTCAGGCCTCAGTTTTACTCCTTATTAATTGTTTAGCTTTAGGCAATTCAAATAATGAACTTCTCTAGGCTGTATTTATTTCACCTGTAAAAGTGTCATGACGTCACTTTTCCTCCTCAATTTGCAAGGCTGGATTTGAGAAGCAAAGGGAGGCAACATACGTGACAAATTTTTGAAACGGTAGGAGTAATTTTGGAAGTTAAGAATAAAACTTGGATGCATTAGAAACAAAATCAGCCAGTAAATCAACCAGCCAATTCAATAAGCTCTATTTTCTTGACATCAATGATTCCGAAAATATAATACCAGTCTTAACATGAAAGAAAATTTGAAGTTATCAACTCTTAAAAGATGGTGTAAAGCCAGGCATTTTCCCTATTATTAACTATGTTTCTTTATGCTAATTTTAAACCAAACAACTGAAGTTTATAATACCAAGACAAGAAAGTATTGCATTAAGAAGTACTCCCTATTAATCAGTAGCACATAACCAGAGTAACTGTTGCTTATGTGGTTCTCACTGCCTTTAAAGTGAGCAGGTGGCGTTTTATTAGCCCTATATTACAGATGGATAAACTGACTCAGATGTGGGATAGTGTGCTGAGATGTAGACCAATTCAGAGACAGAACTCAGGACAGTAATCACCTAGTTCTTCTGTGTACATCATTAAGCTACCAAAAACACTATTTTGTTATGATGCTTTATGGTGATTTTATCCTAGCAAAGAGAAAATTCTTTTTCAGCTATTATTCCGTACACATTTCAAAATGGGCAAAGATACTCAAGGAAAAAGCTACTAATCAACTAGAGTACTGCACTCCAAGGGACAAAATTAAACCTGCCTAGCCTGCTAAAAATCTAATCCTATCCTTGCAATTAACCTTATTAATACTAGAGCAGGAGAAAAGAGAGGTCAAAATATGGGTGATGGTGATAGACATTTCTTCCTGGATCTCAAATAACAGCAATTACTGCACAACAGAGATACTGCATTTATCATAAATTGATACATGATTACTTCCACTATTCTTCAAGTAATGCCAACTACCCATAGGTCAAATACTTAACAAGCAGGGAGTTGAGTAGACCCAAACTGGAACACTGGCAATCACGATAATTATCAAAATAGTGGCTATGATTAGCTATGTCACCCAACTGAGAGTTTACGTATAAGCATACAAAGAGACAAACTCTATGGAGAAAAGTTCATTTTACTGTAAATCTCCCTACTAATGTAACAGATAAATGTTAATTACAACATGTACTTGACCTTCTATTCAAACTCTTTAAGCTTCAAAAGCCGACACAAGAGCTCCAAAATTCTTTTTATTTATTGGAAGCTTAAAAATCAATGAATCTAACAGCCAAAATTTAAAGGTCACCCTCTCAGTACTCCGTTATTCATCCTTTTGCTTAACCAAATCTACCCCACACTGACTTACAGCATCATTTCAAGAAAAAAAAAAAAAACTGTTCTGGCGTGGGCAGAAATTTTACTATGGATCAAAGCTCTGAACATATTAACAAGCAGAGGTTAAACAGTTCTCCTTTACGAAAGCCTCAAAATTTGGCACAACTTTCTTACTTTGGGGTTTGATAAAATTCCAAACAAAATCTCTAATTTTCCACTTAAAAAACGATTGCAGGATAGCCTATCCTAGAGGTCAAATCAGGTAAGATTAAAGTTCAACCATTTTAACAAAAAGAACCCTGCGATGGCACGACCGGAATACACAAATCACCCAGCTCAGTGCAGACTTCATCTAAAAGCTGGCCGAGAGGAAGACATTCAGGAGAATGCTTTAAGGCACATGCAAAAATCACAGTGAACCGGCAAGGGAACGTAAACCTGACCCCATCTACCCCGTGTCCCCTAGGAGAAAAGCGAAGAAGGTAAAATGAGAATCTCCTCTGCAAGGAGGACCCAAGACCTTCCCTAGTCTGTCGGTTCGTCCGTGCCTCCCCAGCTCCCGGACTCCCGCAGCCTCACGGACCTTACAGACCTCTTACCGCTCCCCTTCACCGAATCACTAGAGAATTCTCTCCAAAATGCAGAGGCGATCTCCAGGAGTGGCTTCTCCGCCTTTCCTCGGCTGGGAGAGGGATCCCGGTCGCCAACAACAAAGACGCCTCCCGCTCCCCTCCCCCCGCCCGGCTCATACTCGTCACTCCCGCGCTGCGCTTCCGGGCCTAGCGCCCCCTCCCCTAGCCCGGCCGCGGCCCCGGCACCCACCCGGGCGGCCTCACGCACCTGCACCTGAGCGGCCGCAGCTGAGACGCGAGGCAGACAGGGTCGGGAGGGAAGCTCCGTGGAGGCGCTGTCCTAGACACGGCGCGATCCGCGCTCCCGCCGCTGCCGGACTCTCCTCGCGGGCTGAACGCGGGCTGACCGAGCCGGAGGAGTACAGGGTCGGACAGAGGGATGGAGCCTCCCGCTCCGGGACGAAGGACGGCGGCGCCCGAGGGGGCCCAGCTCGTGCTCCTGAGTCTCGCCTCGCGCCGGCCCTGCTCCTCCACAAGAGCTCGCGTTCTGCTGACT